TAGCCAACACAATATTGATGAAAAAGAACAAAGTTGGAGAACTAATACTATCCAACTTCAAGACTTACTATAAAGCTATGGTAATCAAGACTATGTGGTACTGGATAAAGAAGACAGATCAATGGAACAATACAGAGACAGGACAGGCAGAAACAAAACCACATAAATACAGTAAACTGATCTTTGACAAAAGAGCAAAAGCAACCAAACCAAACAAACAAACAAACAAAAAAACCCACAATCTTTTCAATAAAGAGTGCTGGAACAAGTGGACATTCACATGTAAAAACAAAATGGATATAGACCTTCATAAAAACTCAAAATGGATCAAAGACCTAAACCTTGATGACCTTAGGTATGGCAATGACATTTTAGGCACAACACCAATGGCATGATCCATGAAAGAAATAATTAAGTTGGTTTTCATTAAAATTAAAGACTTCTGCTATGCAAAAAAGAATAAGGAAACAAGTCAGAGACTAGGAGAACATGTTTGCAAAAGGCCTCTGATGAAGGACTGTGATCCAAAATAATACAAAGAACACTTAAAACTCACCAAAAGAAAACAACCTGATTAAAAAACAAGCAAAAAAAAGTGAACAGACACCTCAGCAAAGATGGCAAATAAGCATATGAAAAGATGTTTCAGGGGTGCCTGGATGGTTCAGATGGTTAAGTGTCTGACTCTGGATATCAGCTCAGGTCATGATCTCACAGTTCAAGAGACTGAGCCTCGCGAAAGGCTCTGCACTAACAGTGTGGAGCATGCATGGGATTCTGTCTCTCCCTCTCTCTCTGCCCTCCCCTGCTTGTGCAGGCGCTCACTAGTTCTCTCTCCTTTAAAATAAACAAACATAAAAAGAAAAGATGTTCAACATCATATACCATTAAGGAAATGCAAATCGAAACAAACTGAAACAACAATGAAATACCACTACAAACCTATTAGAATAGCCAAATTCCAAAACACTGATAACATCAAATGCTGACAAGGATGTGGAGCAACAAGAACTCTTATTCATTGCTGGTGGGAACGCAAGATGGTACAGACACTTTGGAAGATAGTTTGGCAGTTTCTTACAAAACTAAACATACCCTTAAACATAAGATCCAGCAATCAAGCTCCTTGGTACTTATCCAAATGAACTGAAAACTTATGTCCACAAAAACTCTACATACAGAAGTTTATAACAACTTTATTCATAATTGCCAAATTTAGAAGCTACCAAGATGTCCTTGAGTAGGTGAATGGATTGATAAACTGTGGTACATTTGGGACAATGGGATATTATTACTCAGTGCTAAAAAGAAATGAGCTATCAAGGTATGGTAAGACTTGAAGGACTCTTAACATGCATATTGCTAAGTAAAATAAGCCAATCTAAAAAGGCCTCATACTATATGATTCCAACTATATGACATTCTGGAAAAGGCAAAACTATGGAAATAGTTAAAAGATTAGTGGATGCCAAGGGCTGGAGACAGGGAGGGATGAAAAAGCAGAGACAGAGAGTTTTTAGGGCAAAGAAACTATTCTCTATGCTACTACAATGATAGATACATGTCATTATGTACATGTCATATACAACACCAAGAGTGAACCCTAATGTAAATTATGGACTTAGGGGGATAATGATGTGCTGATGTAGGTTAATTGACTTTAACAAATATACCACTCTGGTGCAGGATATTGATAGTGGGGGAGGTTATATGTCTATGGGACAGGGTATAGAGGAACTCTGTATTTTCTGCTCAATTTTGCTGTAAACCCAGAAACTGCTCTAAAAGATAAAGTTTACTAGTTTAAAAAAAAAACAATGAACTAGGAAGTTTCTATTTCTAGAATGACTAAGTACCTACTAAACTGGCTTTGTTGCAGTTATAACCTACTTATATATAGTAATTATTTAATAAGTTGAACCGTATGGAATAAATAGACCTACTTTCAAATCAACAGGCGTCACATTACTCAAAAGATTCCAGACTTAAAAGTAAAGTTGAAGGGTCTTAGAACATTCTGTGGATGCAAATATCAGGATGTATTAAGACTGGAGGATATAATTTAATGTGAAGTTTGATTTCAATGGAACAGTCAGTGCTGCCTTTCTCAACATCTAGGTAAGTAGAGAGTCTACAGCCATAAATTGGGCTTTTAAGTCAATTCTTCTTCCCTGGGACTGAGGCCCACCTGGATTTTCTACAGGGATCTGGGGAGAGATGATGATGATGACAGGTAACATTTATGGAATACAAAGTATGTTACACATATCAACTCAAAGCTACAGTCTACAGCCTTAGGCAGGCTGAAAAGAGCAGATGATGTTCTCAATCAAAGCCTCTTGAATAGGGAAGATTTAGTAATGAACTCTACCTGCCAGGAATCTAAATAGAGAGATAATCATCTAGAGAGGAGCAGGCACTAGTAACTGTGCCCAGAACTCACATTATAGTTATGAAATAATGTATAGAGGCTACACAAGCTAAATTTATTTCTATATGATGAAAAGGCCAGGTCAGATATATGCTGTTTTTACAAAGTTCCAGTGTAGAGTACACATAACCCAGTCAATTTGAGGGGAAACATATCTAAACACAATGAGACCTTCACTTTACAGGCTCAGTATGCCTCTAATTCCCTGGGTCCCCCTGTGTTCTTGGTGGCGTCTTCTAATATGAGAGTTCGCGTTTGAGAGATTTATTGATTTCTGGAAAAGGGCCATGAGCACACTCAACAGCTGGATCTGAGCCCAGTAAAGTGAGACCTTTCTCCTAAGGACAAAAATCAATTTCAGAATCACCAGACTCTCAGGGTACTTAGACAACTACTCCACATGCACCCTCATTTTACTTCCTCCAAACACACAGTAAACTGAGCAAAGAGACAAACCCAAGTGAAACAGACCTGTCTTATCTGGCTTGATGATGAGCTGTCTCACTGCTGTGTTTTTTTTTTTGTAATGTTTATTTCTATTGTAAATTATATTTTTAGTATATGTGCTGCCGAAGCGAGCACTGTAAATTATATTTTTATTCTATTTTTTAAAATTCTCTTTCAATTCCTAAACATGCATCCTTATCTGAAATATTGCCCTATGCTCTGTGGACAATTTACAAACACATTTTTTTTTCAGGAAAATTTCATTTCATTTCAACTTGTGAATCCTTTAACTTTTTTTTTTTTTTTTTTTTTTTTTACATTCAAGTTAGTTAGCATATAATGCAATAATGATTTCATTTCAGGAATAGATTCCAGTGATTCATCCCCTACATATAACACCCAGGGCTCATCCCAACAAGTGTCTTACTTAATGCGCCTCACCCATTTAGCCCATGCCCCCACCCCTAACCCTTCCACCAACCCTCAGTTTGTTCTATTTAAGAGTCTCTTATGTTTTGTCCTCCTCCTTTTTTATATTATTTTTGCTTCCTTTCCCCTATGTTCATCTGTTTTGTATCTTAAATTCCTCATGAGTGAAATCATATGATATTTGTCTTTCTCTAATTTTACTTAGCATAATACCCTCTAGTTCCATCCACACAGTTACAAATAGCAAGATTTCATTCTTTTTGATTGCCGAGTAATACTCCATTGTATATATATATACCATATCTTCTTTATCCATTCATCTGTCGGTGGACATTTGGGCTCTTTCCATACTTTGGCTATTGTTGACAGTGCTGCTATAAACATTGGGGTGCATGTCCTCCTTTGAAACAGCACACCTGTATCCCTTGGATAAATACCTAGTAGTATAATTGCTGTAGGGTAGTTCTATTTTTAATTTTTTGAGGAACCTCCATACTGTTTTCCAGAATGGCTGCACCAGTTTGCATTCCCATCAGCAGTGCAAAAGAGATCCTCTTTCTCTGCATCCTCACCAACACCGGTTGTTGCCTGAGTTGTTAATTTCAGCCATTCTGACTGGTGTGAGGTGGTATCGCATTGTGGTTTTAATTTGTATTTCCCTGATGATGAGTGATGTTGAGCAGCTTTTTATGTTTCTGTTAGCCATCTGGATATCTTCTTTGGAGAAGTGTCTACTCATATCTTTTGCCCATTTCTTCACTGTATTATTTGTTTTGGGGGTTGAGTTTGATAAGTGCTTTATAGATTTTTGATACTACTAACATTTTACCTGATACGTCATTTGCAAATATCTTCTTCCATTCTGTTGGTTGCCTTTTAGTTTTGCTGATTGTTTCCTTTGCTGTGCAGAAGCTTTTTATTTTGATTAGGTCCCAATAGTTCATTTGTTTATTTCTATCTTTGAGAGAGTATGAGTGGGGGAAGGGCAGAGAGAGAGGGACGGAGGATCTGAAGCAGGCTCTGTGCTGATAGCAGTAAGCCTGATGCAAGGCTTGAACTCACAAACTGTAAGATCGTGACCAGAGACAAAGTGAGACACTCAACCAACTGAGCCACCAGGTGTCCTGCTTTGGTACTCTTTTATTGCCCAAAGTCCGACAAAGCCCATGGCTTACCAAACCGAGGCAGCAAGCTCTAAGAGGCTCCCCACGGTTCCAAGCCTGCTCCATTTCCATTACCCCTAGGTCTGGAATTTCCACTGTAAATATTATAGCAATGAACAGGGTTTAACAGTTCAGCAATCCCTTTAGCAAAGGCTCCCCTGGGATGCAAAAACACATGTCTAGGCTAAAATATATGGCTAACTCAAATTAGGTCTTCTGCCTTATAATTTTTCTATTTCCTCAGTCAGAGGCAAATAAATCAGTCCTTATACTAGCCAGAGGAGCTCAGGTTCCAGATGGAGAAGAATCTGAATACATGAGATCAATTGCTTCGATTCCAATATATAAAATCAATACCACATTCTCCAATAAAAAGCATGACTATGAACTCTGTATGCCTCAGTCAGCCACATGAAGTGACAATGTAATGTGCTGAACTACACAAAGTAAGAAGTAGGAAAGAAATTAGGCATCAATGGCCACTCTTTCACTTTGTTTCATTCCACCTTTCTTAACCTTCAAGCACTCACCTGTGTGGCCAGGAAGCGGTGAGTGTGGCCGTGGTAGGGTAGGTGATGTACTAGAGGTCATAATCAAACTCTTGCGGTTACTTGTCCGACAACTGCAATGAAAACACAAATGTCAGTTATAACAGGGGCCCACCACGGGCTCAAGGAACTTAAATGGCTATTGAAGAACAAAAGAGTGACACCACCACATGAGCGGAGCAGTACACCACTTTCAACTGAACCAGGTCAGCAAATCCTGTTTGCCCCAGAAAGATTTCATAATTCACTATGTTCCACCTTATAATAACTTGTCACCATCTTGACTTTCATCGTGTATTGCATTGCACTTTTCCATTGTTTAGATTTTGCTTCCCAAGCAAACACAAGGAGCTCCTCTAAAGGTAATAACCATTTCTTAAATAGTATCTAAAGAAGAATAGTCACGGTAAATTTGATTTAGAAAACAAAAAATACAAGTCATATTCTCCTATCTCATAAAAATTAATGTTCTTGCCATAAAAATGAAACCATTAACTTAACCTGTAAAATTTATTTTTTAAAAACTGCTTAATCAGTGAATGAAGTAATACTTTCATTTCACCATAAATTTCAGAACAGGCTGGGTTCCTTCTAAAAACTCTTTTCATTACAAGTTAATGCCTGAGGCTTTTTCTTGTAGTTGGAGAAAAACAAATCATGATGAAAAGCCATGAAAACTGTATATAAATTTATTTGAAAGGCATTTGGGAAGCTTGCCATTTACATTCATCCAAATATTTACTGAACACCTACTTTGTACCAGGCAGTATTCTAGATGCTAGGGAAACAACAGGAAACAAGAGAAAGTTTCTGTCCTCAAACTGGCATACTGCGATAAAAAAAAAAAAAAAGAAAGAGGGGTGGGGAGAGAGGGTAGAATGTTCAAGATAATAGAGTGAGTGACAGGAGGGGAGAATGACAGGAAAAGGAGTAGCTTATAAAGGCTATGGGGGTAGGTCACAGCCAGACTCTGAAGGGCTGGTAGACTGTTATAAAGAACTACCGGAAATGTGAGGAGTAACTCCTGAAAAGATTGAGATCAATTTCAAGAATGCAATTACGATTAGAAATAATAAACACTTTTCCCTAAGAAACCATCCAGATGAATCTAATCATGTCTTACAGCCCTCATTACCTCAGTCACTGTCATATGTCCAAGCTTCTCTTTCTCTAAATTTGACAGTTTCCCTCTATTCTCTGATCTTCCAACCAAAAAGCTTATGTTGTGCCTCCCATGAACTCATTCTGTCGTCAGCAAACTCTCTATAGTCTCAATTTCTTTGTTCAAAAACCACTTTAAATTCTAGTTCTAACTGAAACTTTGCTTAACCCCCATCCCAACACACACACAGGACACCACAGTCCTAGTAAAATCCCAACTTTTAAACCCACTTTCCATCCATTTTACAACTGTGCTCAGGCAGCTGAAGATGACTAAGGAAAAATCCAAAATCACGCTGGCTACGGTTTCCTTATATTTATGATAAACATTAAGTGGGTCTCATTAACCATACTATAGTCACCTAGGCAATGTGTGCTCGTTCTCTTTCCAAGACAACTAATTTGCATCTTCTCTCCAAATTTCTAGCATTCCTTCCCAAATCTCACCCTCATATGCTGACTTTGCTTTTTATTCAACTGGGGGTAAAAAGGAACAACAGAAAAACATTTCATATTTCTGCTATACAAATCTACTAACCTAAATTTGTCCCCATACATTCTAATTTCCTATCTACAACAGCAGAAGGGAGACAATGCTCCTATAAAAGGCAACTCCCCTGAATCTCCTCCTTAAGAAGTCTGCACCTCCCTCTCCTATGCCATGAATTTCTACTTCCAACTGAATCATTCTCATCATCATAAAACATACTGTCATTTTTTTTTCATCTTAAGAAAATAAAAAGAGGAGTGCCTGAGTGGCTCAGTCGGTTAAGCAACCAATTTTGGCTCAGGTCATGATCTCCTGGTTTCTGAGTTCAAGCCTCACATCAGACTCTGTGCTGACAGCTCAGAGCCTAGAGCCTGCTTCAGTTTCTTTGTCTCCTTCTCTCTCTGCCCCTCCCCCACTCTTTCTCTGTCTCAAAAATAAACATTAAAAAAAATTTTTTTTTAAAGAAAGAAAGTAGGGTGCCTGCGTGGCTCAGTTGGTTAAGCATCTGACTTCGGCTCAGGTCATGATCTCACAGTTCGTGGGTTCGAGCCCCACGTCGGGTGCTGGCAGCTCAGAGCCTGGAGCCTGTTTCAGATTCTGTGTCTCCCTCTCTCTCTGCCCCTCCCCCATTCGTGTTCTGTCTCAAAAATAAACAAACCATAAAATTTAAATAAATAAAAAGAAAGAAAATAAAAAGAAAATCTTTCATAGGCTTCCCTGACTTGTGCAGTTCTGTCCTCCCCTGTTTAAGAAAGATTCCATGTAGGGAATTCTCTACTTGTCACCTTCACACCTTTAGTCACCCCCATCTTACCATTAAAACTACTGTTTTCGAAATCACCAGTGATTTTGACCTTCATCTTATGTAACCTCTGAACATCATTTATAGTTTCAATCTCCTCTATTAAAATTTTTTTTAAAAATTTGGATATAATTTCCATTCAATAAAATATATATCTTAAGTGTTCTATTCAATGAGACAATTATATACATCCATATAACATCCAAAAGACAGAATTATTTTAATTACTCTAGAAATTCCCATGTTACCCTTTTCCAGTCAACCCCTTGTCCTCCAACTACTTTCTTCTATCCCCATACTATTAATTTCATTTTACTAGATTTCCTGTAAGTAAAATTGTACACTATGTATTTTTGTGTGTGTTTGGCTTCTTTTGTTCAACCTAATCTGTGTAACTCTTCCTACGATACTTTTCTTTGTTTAGTTCTTGGGACCTGATGATTTCCTGGTTTTCTTCCTCTCACTAACTGCTCATATTTTATTCTCCTTTACTTGTTCCTTCTCTTCCTGACTTCTAAATCATTTAGCACTAAGGCTCAGATCTGAAATATCTTTTTTCTCTCCCTATACACACTCCCTAAGTGATTGTTTTCCAGCTTTCCAGTTTTAAATCTTTGATGTTGATGATACCCAGCATTTTATTGCTGACTCTGTGCTGTCTCCTGTGAGTTCAAGACTCATATATTCAAGTGCCTACTTGACATCTCCAACTCGAAGTCTTAAAAGGCATCTCAAACTCAAATTTCAAAAAAAAAAAAAAAAAAGGCTCTTGAATTTCTCTCTAAAATCTGCTACTCCTGCCTACATTGTACTATCTCATTGTATGGCACAACCATTCCCCCAGATGCTTAGGCAAAAACCATTGTTCATTCTCTTTTCTTCACACCCACATCCAAATCAACCAGGAAGTTCTGTGGAATTATACCCTAAAAATACATCCTGAGTGCAAGCCATTCTCTTTATTTCCAATACTACCACTATTTCAGTTAAAGTCTATAAGAGGTTTTCTTCCATTTTGGTTCTTCCTGCTTATTTCCCTGCCCCTACCAGTCTATTCTTCACCCATAAGTCATAGTAATATTTTAAAAACCATAGATGAAATCATGTGAATTCCTTGTTTTGAAACCCCAATGGCTTCCCATCATATTTGGAATATAATTTGAACTCCTTAAACAGCCATTAAAATTAACCCTAGTGGAAAGAATTTTGGGGGGCACCAGGGTGATTCAGTCAGTTAAGCGTCCAACTCTTGACTTCAGCTCAGGTCATGATCTCATGGTTGTGAGATCAAGCCCCACATCGGACTCTGCACTGATGGAGCAGAGCTTGCTTGGGATTTTCTCCCTCTCTCTCTGCCCATCTCCCCCTCCCCAGCTCACGTGCACACTTGTACACACATGCGCGTGCTCTTTCTCAAAATAAACTTAAAAAAATTTTTTTTTAAATTTTTTTGGGGGAGCACCTGGGGGGCTCAGTCAGTTAGGCATCCGACTTTGACTCAGATCAGTATCTCATGGTTTGTGGGTTCAAGCCCCACATCAGGCTCTGTGCTGACAGCTCAGGCCTGGAGCCTGCTTTGGATTCTGTGCCTCCCCTCTTTCTCTGCTCCTCTCCCACTCATGCTTTGTTTCTCTATCTACCTATCTTTCAAAAACGAATATTTAAACAGAAAGAATTTTTTTTAAATTAAGGATCTTAGGTAAGGTTTTGTCTTTTGGGTTTCCTCCCTCCCTCCCTCCCTCCCTCCCTCCCTCCCGGTTTTTATTTTTTTCAATAGTTTATTGTCAAGTTGGATTCCATATAACACCCAGTGCTCATCCCACAAGTGCCCTCTTCCATGCCCATCACCCCCCCTTCCTCTCCCTCCTCCCCATCAGCCCTCAGTTTGTTCTTGGCATTCAAGAGTCTCTCATGGTTTGCCTCCCTCCCTCTCCCCAAATATTTTCCCCCTTCTTCTCCTGCATGGTCCTCCGTTAAGTTCCTCCTAATCCTCCTATACGTGCAAACATATGGTATTTGTCCTTTTCTGCCTGACTTATTTCACTCAGTATAACACCCTCAAGTTCCATCCATGTTGCTACACATGGCCAGATTTCCTTCTTTCTCATTGCCATGTAGTATTCCATTATATAGATAGACCACATCTTCTTGATCAAAAAACCATAAAATACCTATGAATAAACCTAACTAAAGATATAAGAGATCTGTATGATGAAAACTATAGAAAACTTAGGAAGGAAATTGAAGAAGACATAAAGAAAAAACATTCCAAGCACATGGGTCGGAAGAATAAATATTGTTAAAATGTCATTACTACCCAAAGCAATCTACACATTCAAGCAATCCCAATCAAAATTGCACCAGTATTCTTCTCAAAACTAGAACAAACTATCCTAAAATTTGTATGGAACCACAAAAGACTCCGAATAGCCAAACTAATATCGAAGAATAAAACCAAAACGGGAGGCATCACCATCCCAGACTTTAGCCTCTACTACAAAGCTGTCATCATCAAGACAGTATGGTATTGGCACAAAAACAGACACATAGACCAGTGGAATAGAATAGAGAACGCAGATTTGAACCCAAAAGGGTCTTCTTAAAAAGAATCATACCTATGC